CTATCTTCAGAAAATCCATCTTGAAATAATGAGACAGAAAAGGTAGAACCAAATGCCAGTATCAACACAGAGAGCTATGAGCTCCACTTTACAGCTACAGGAGAATCTTACACGGGAAGTATGAGAAACAATCTCCTAAAATGATATTGTTGTCTCACACATAAAACTCTCAAGTGCATATATGATGACCTAACAGAGCGACTTGGCGGCAGAACTTGAGTATGCATCTGGGAAAGGGGAGGAATTCGACCCCTGACACAGTCCAAAAAATGTTGCTGCATTTATTCTTTGGCTGATAGTTTAATGTTCTTTTCCCAAAGACTTCTTTGCAGCTTCTATTTTCTTTTTTGGTTGCGGATGAAGAATGAGGAGGAGGCCGTCGTTCTCCACAATCAGTAGTATAACGAAAAAGTTTCTGGGCTGCTGTAAGAACAGGTAGGCGGTGGTGAAAAATGCCATTCAAGAAGCACAGAGGGAAACAGCCTCAGTCGTTATATATTGTTATTTTTTAAAATTTGTTTAAGATGGGCAGGCATAAACAGCTGGATGGACTAACATTGAAACAGATGGTCAGAATGATTCTCTGAGACATCACTGTGGCTGAGAGCAGACATTTACATACAGCAACAAATGATATCTGAATAGTTTATTGTCAAACTGTCCAGACAGTGTTAATCCATAAAGAAAAAGATAGTTTAACTGTACTGCAGAACTGAGACTGTGTGCACCTGTGTTTGTGTATTACCATACTGTAAGATGTCTTTTCACAGGAAAAATTGGTTTCAGAATTAATGTCAGCATAATGAATTAACAACTAATGACTGCAATAATAAACATTCAACTGGGGAATTTTGTAATTGAGCTGAAACTGAAGCAATGTACATCGATTAGTACTGAAAGAAAAAAGAAAAAACAAAACAAAACACGGCACTGACTAGTTGAAAACAAACCTGTGATACACACATATAACTAGAAACAAGACTACAAACAGATCAATAAAACCCACAACCTAAGATTAAGACTAATGGATTCCTCTTGGAGCCGAGCATCTGAAGTCAAGCCATTTCCCAGGACAACTAATCATCGTTTAAATCGTAAAATGATGAACTCAGAAAGCAAAATTAATTGCTAAAAAGAAAAATAAAACACAAAACTATAAAAAACTACAACATTTTCTTTTTTTTATCTCAGTATTCAAGAATCAAAACCTACATGAGTATTTCTGAGTCTTTGGGAGTTCTTTTGAGTCTGGGGGAGGGAAGAACCATATTGACAACATTGGAAAATTCCTATTGATTATTCTTCTTTTCTCTGAGCACCGGCTTGTTAAAAAAGACCCCTCTTGGAAACACAATCAATTAGTGAGATAGTGCTTGCCATTGATCACCCCCCTCCACCTCATAAGGCTCTTGCCTCACGATGGATCCCTCCACACACACGCCTTATGACCAACTATTGATCTCAGCTTCTCAGCCAAATATAAAAGCACACACTCACAGTGAGAGCTGACCCCTCACATACAAACCATGCAGTCTAATACTAATACTGACATCTGCTTGTCTCCATTGTAAACCCATGGTTCACTCATAAATACAGAGGCCAGCTTTGGCCCAGAACCAATATAGTTTCTCAGAGGTCAGAGGTCAGCATGACAATAATGCCACCATTAAAAGATCTGCCTGAGTTAACACTGAGAACCCTCAGCACAGAGAAGCTTTACACAGTAAAAGCAACAAAGATTGGTGAAAAATACCTGTATTATACAAGGGGCTGATTGTATTTTTGTTTGATTTGTTTTTGATAGGGTAAAGGGTTAAAAACTGATGAAAGCAGCAAAACGCCCCTTTTGAGGGTTTTTTTGGTTGATAAATTACCTCAAAAAAATCAAGTGATTACAAAAGTTTTTATCAATTAATTTTCTGTCATTTAACCAACTGATCCACTAATCATTTCAGCACTAATTGTACAAAAACCATACAATATAAAAGAAGAACAAAAAAGAAAAGTAGTAAAAACATTGACAGCATTCGTTTGAAGCATTAGTGAGGATTTATGGTGGTGAGCCCAGAGGAACCAATCTATCTATCTGTCTGTTGATCAATCATCTAACCAATCAGTGAACAAGCCAATCCATCAGTCAAAGATAGGTGACATCCTCCAAACAGAGAAGTCACATCAGGCTTGCAAGTATAACAGTTCACTCAAGTTAAGATTAGACAATTGTAAAACTAATAGGCACAGCGGGTAGTGGGGCAGATAGAGCGACAGATAATTCTCTCCCATAGGCAACTTAAGAGTCATCTCTTTGTCAGCGACTGCCCTTGCCCTCTTCATCCCTCGGTCCCTCCACCCTGTATCCCTTCACCCCTCCCTATGGATCAGCTGTGATCTCCTCTCTCTCCTTTCACTCAAATCAGGATTAGGGAGAAGGGGAGGCTGAGCAGGGGGTGCAGCAGCAGCAGGAGAAGGGGGGGGGGGGAAAAACTGAAACAATATGGAAAGGAGATTAGAAAAGAGGGGGTTTGGGCTGTTTGGGGAATTGCAAACTCCCTTGTGCTTGGGTAGGTGTCCTAATGACACCGCCTAATTATGGCAAAATTAGACAGGCTAAAGGGAAGGTTGGGGGGTGGTGGAGGAGATGGTAACGTGAAGGAAAAAGAAGTGGAGCAAGGGAATTAAGCAATAGGGAGTAAGTGCACAGTAGGAGCATGTGGGAGCAAATGCAAAAGAGCGAGAGGGCTGTGCAGAAGTACAGATACAAGTTGAGGCAGGGAGGAAGGGAGCATGGGGCTGAGAGCAAGAGAGAAAAAAAAGAGAAAAAGAGGAAGAAAAAGGGTAGAAAGCAGTGGCTGGGCGAAAGGAGCGAGTGGGCCCCAACACGCTGCATGTTAATTGGAGAACAGGTGTTGGGGCTGGGAGCAGGAGGCTGATTATTGGAGCCACAGAAACAGACCGTCTCCTCCACACATACACACACAACTGCACACGCAGGGATGCACAAATGCACATAGGCTGCACTCCACACACACACACACACACACACACACACACACACACACACACACACACACACACACACACACACACATACACACACACACACACTCACAAACACACACACACACACACCCATACACACATGAATAATTTAAGACCCAAGCAGTGACTAGGGAAAAAGGTCAGAGTAGGGGTCACACAGACACATAGACAATTGCACATACGTCCATATACATACATAAATAAACGTGCGAGGATCCTCACACACTCACATGAAAATATACATCCGTTTGTCTACACACAAACTGAACACTTGCTCAGAACATACACACACATCTTGCCCTGTCAATCTTTCCACTCTCTCTTGTTTTCAGTGTGTAGTGCACACACACACACACACACACACACACACACAGAGACACACACACACACACACACACACAGTCAAATAAGAAAGTGCACATAAGGTGGGATAAAAGGGCACAGGGCTGCACAAAATTCCATTGGCTTATCAGAAATTAACTGGCTGCTAATAGGCAGCTCCCTGAGGAGAGGATTTCGCAGGCCAGTCAAGAGGGAGAAGCCCCCATCAGGATGGGATATGCCCAGTGTGATTAGAGAGTACAGTAGGTCAATGATTCCATTTAAATCAATCCTCACAGTCGCACACCAGCCTGCACACACACACACACACACACACACACACACACACACACACACACACACACACAAAGTCACAACAAGATATAGATCTCTCTCTTTCCTCACCAGCACGCCACCAAGCTACTTACAAACAAATTTCGAGAGGTTTAGCCATGTTAGGAGGAAGTATAAAAAGGGTGCAGAGGGGGTTATTGGGAGAGCAATGTGCTACAGTAAATGAGAAAAGCAGCTGCTCCATAGCATTCTGGGAAAATTCAAAAGACAACAGCCCCATTTTTCCATTATATGAAAACTATCTTCAGCTGAGATCCTTTGAGACACACTGTCAACAGCCAGCCAGCTTGAACTGAGGAGAGGGAAGAAAAAGGTCCTTGACGTAAATGAAGTGAGTGTTTTCTAGACAGACAATGCTAGGGAAGGAGAGAGGAAAGGAGAGGGGAGAGGAGGGACTGAGGGAGGGAAAGGTGATGAAGGTTGCATCTCTGACATCACAGAGAAGGTATTTCACATGCAGTCTGCTTATGAACATTCATCACATCGGCTAATGCCAGGCAGACACTGCAAGACCTCCGAAATCCCTCGGACGTGAAGGCCCTCACACACGCTGATTACAGCAGTGGTCATCCGCCTTTAAGCCTGATAAGTGGCTGTCAGGGTGAACATTTACTACACATGTGAGCCCGTCTGCTGGTATGAAAAATCCACATGCTTCTGATAAAAAGGAAATCTACACTTTTGGCAGGTTTCAGGTGCAATGTCGGCAGTTCAACGTAATGAGAGACTGAACTCAAACAGATCCCAGAAGGCTGAAGATAGATCAACAGATAAACAGAGAGCTGAAGAGAGAGAAACACATGGGAGACAGACATGGACACAGATACTCTGTACTGTATGTTACAGCCTACCTTCACCGGTGCAGTTTAAACCGACATGGCAGACACGCTGTCTACTGTGAACACCTATCGCTATGTTGTAAATATTTATATCTATATGCGATTCATACATGTACAAATTAATATTTACATATGAAATGAACACACAAACATTAACACTACTGAGCCTCCAGGGCTTTTACTCTGCTATCTAGTTACTTTTCTCACTATAGTCAATATTCATTGGCTGTAAGTGCAGCAGCTGATTGGTTGGATCTCAGCACAACAACTTTCACATCCAACCATGATCTCTCTCTCTCTCTCTCTCTCTCTCTCTCTCTCTCTGGCACTGTGTGTGAGTGTGTAGGTGAATATATACACAAAGAAAGGGCAGCCTGAACGCTTAGTATGAAGAGTTGCTTGTTTGAGGTGGTGGACACCGTGTGGGACATGGTTTGATCTCATTACCTGTCAATGATGACTGGGTCAGAGGGCGTCTCGTTTCGGTTGCCACAACTCTTCTTCTCACAACAGCGGCTGAGCGGGCAGTTAAAGAGACAGAAAAAGGGAAAAAGTCAGTGTTGGGGGAAAAAAAAACAAATTAAACAAGAGGAGCCATCATTTGTCTGGGCCTTCCACATCCTCAGGCCCAGACTACTCTGCCCAGCAGTCGGCCAAGATCCAGGAGCACACAAAGGAGGCATGAGAGGGGAGGGGAAGAATAGACAAAAGAATAAAAGAGGAAGAAAAGGTACAACAACACACCCTACAAACAGTGAGAGACTATTCAAAAGTGAAAAGCCAGCCAGGCAATCTGTCACATTGATTTCAAAATCAAACTCAACCCCCACGCAGCCTCATTACGCACACACATACACACACACACTCACACACACACCGTCCCACAACATCCTACCATTCGTCAGCAGTCCTGTCCGAGGAGCCTGCTGGCCACCCAGCCCACCCCTCCCCAAAGTCCCCTTCACTGCATAACAAAAGTGCCCCCACCCCTAACCATCTGCCACCCCTACACCTCGCCTCACCCCTCTCGTGTCCCAGCTTGGCCCTGCCCTGCCCCCCTCCGCCCCCCTGTCAGACGGCCTCACTCCCCAGCTGTGACGCTTGCCCTCTGCCTCTTCGGCTCTGTTATTAGCCAGCTGTGAGTCACATTCGGGCATCTGCTGGCTACACAATGGCAAAGCCCACTCTGTTTAAGCCCCTTTCCCCTTGTCCCAGCCCCCTATCCTTCCCCCTGCTGCCCTCGAATCCTGGGTGACTGCCCCACTTCCAGACCGCTCCCTCAGACTTGCTCTCTCTTCTCCATCCATAACCCTGCATTCACCATTTTCTTCACTCACCAAATAATGACAAAAACCCTTCGGCCCCTAAGCCATGATTAGACTTCTGAAACTTGCTCTGCCATTGAAAGAACTTTCTGCACCACTACACTTGTTGACAAAGTTCACACATGCTGTCTCGACTATACAGAAGAGCTGCAGTTTCGATTTTGGGAAAGGTGGATTATTCCCCTAAAGTGCGTCTGCTGCTGTCGGCTGAGGTCTGGCTGCAAAACCCCCAGGACAGGGAGAAAGGAGCTCCGGGAAGAAACAGGAGCTGGCCGAGAACATGCTGCATTACAGCAGAAAGCAGCAGGGGGTTACCACTGTAACAAGGATGATGACAGACAGGCTTGACTTACGGTTCAGCCACAGTCTAGTTTTCAAAAAACGTAGAGCCCCAAGCGTCATCCCAAAACCACATTTCAAGCTGACTGAGACAGAGAAGAGCGAAGGAGAGTAATTGATATTTGGATTTTGTCCCTGTGGGTGAAAGTTTTCAATGAGTGTGCGTGTGTTTTTGTGTGTGTGTGTGTGTGTGTGTGTGTGTGTGTGTGTGTGTGTGTGTGTGTGTGTGTGTGTGTGTGTGTGTCCGTGTGTGTGTGTGTGTCCGTGTGTGTGTGTGTGTCCGTGTGTATGTGTGTGTAACACTCACCTGCACATAACCTCGTGTGTGAGCAGAACTCTGCACATTTCTGGATTCTTGTTTTGTCCCTCATACGATATGGGCTGAGAGGAGGAAATGAGAAGCAATGGGACAGATTCAGTTTCACGGAGAATCAATGAAACGTCTGTTTATATAGCTGGAGGTGGAATCCCCTTCAAGAAGACTTAAGGGAAGTTTACCAACCTGTTTGGTGACAGAGTCGATAAGTCGTGCGTAAAGATCTTGCTCCGTACGGACCCCTGCAAAAAGAAAACACAGAAATTGGCTGTTATTAATAACTGTAAAAATTTATTTTAGGCATGAGAAAGGTTTTACTAAAGTGAAATAAATTTTCCAAAGAAACTGTATGATCTCTTGCCCTCAGTGCGTTAGTTAAACAGAAGCAGGGAGTAGATGAGAGATGGAGCTACAAATAGCCTTTTTTTTATTGTGCAGATAACCTTCACATCACTGAACACTTGTAAATTAAGGCTGAGTCGCTGGACCCTAATTGCAAAATACTACCTACCGTTGCTTCAGTCACGGTAACTGTGACTGAAGCAATTGACATTGTACTTAAACTCACTAACCCACTCTTACCAGTTAATAAAAAAAGTACATTGCACTGAGGATTCTCAAAATAAAAGATTTATGATATACATCTTTTTTTCAAACTCTGGACAAGCTCTCTGAAAAATCATTGAACTCTGTCCAGCAAACATGGAGGAATAAGATTGGCATGCAGTTCATGCTTTCTCGCTGATGGTTTCCGAGGGGATTGAGAGTTATTTGATGTTTGATGATTATTAGTCATGTTCTGCTTTGAGGCCAGAATTTATATCCAGGTTCTCACGATTTGTCAGGCTGTTCTTTTTGTGGTTATTTCTCTGTTAACTTTTGATTTATCCCCAAGTTTAGTTGACTGATGTGAGATAAGTTGAACACCAACAGGTAACTGATCAGTTTGTTGTGGGATTTAATTGAGGAGCAAATTACTTTAAAAAAAAATCAGTTTCTGGCTTCTATGTAATCAGCTGTGTCTCTGGTTAAGATTTCTAGAGACACCTGAACCTCTGGATGCTTCGAAACCTCCACAATAAATCACACTACAGTGGGAAACGACATTTAATGAATTGCTTCTTGAGAGAAGAGCGCATTACCCAAGGAATTTTTATGGAGACTTTGGAGAGTATTGCTTTTAAAATGTGTTCCTCTCATCAAAGTCTCGATTGAGATGCCTTTGATATCGCTTGGGGGAAGGGGATGAGAGGAGGGGATGGAGAGGAAGTGCTTTTGGTGTGCTTGTATGTACATGTGTGTGTGTGTGTGTGTGTGTGTGTGTGTGTGTGTGTGTATGTGTGTATGGAGGGTGTATGAGGGGGTTGCTGTAGAACATGTCTTTTATCTTCTCTCCCATGGGTGCCACTGCGATGGCAGAGTAGGGGCAGCAGTGGCTCATGGGAACCAAATTTCTCTGTGTAGCCCCCGATCTGATGTGGAAGCACCATGAGGTGGGGGTGGGGGGTGGAGGGTGGGTTTTTTTTTTTTTGGGGGGGGGGCAACATGTACCTCATTTCCCCATACGTGGGCCCAGAAGAGGCTACTCGCAGAGCGGAGCGTTGAATTGTACAAGCCCGGTGATTAGGCGATGAGTGGAAGGAAATTTATGAGCTCCGAGAGGAGAGGCGAGGTAAAGCAGGGGAGGATGTGGAGGAGGATTACTTAAGTGGAAAGGTGTGTGTTATGTTAGCGCGCTGGTGTCACCGGTAACCTTTTTCCCCTCCTGTTATGTGCAGGACTTACCATCGTGTCTAAATGGTCAATGGTCAAATTAGACACCTCAGAGGGCAAAGAACCAACCCACAACCTGAGAGCCGATGTCTGACTCTACTCACCGTTGCTGTAGAGGAGCTGTAGCTTGTAGTGGGTGCCGTTGTTGGTCTTTTCTCCCGTCTGCTCCTTGGAAAGACACGGAAGACAGACAAATGCAGGGCATGCAGTTAAGCACATCTGGGCCACAGATAAGTACAGCTGGGCATCCCCATGCAGTGTTAAGCACAGTGAGTCTCTCCTAATCCTGCAGCTCGCCCTTCCCTGGGAGCAGCATTCAGATCAGAGGGTTGTCTGCTCAAAGCCCATATGGGACCCCGCGTTGTGCTCATAAGCTGAGTGCTTAACCTTGAGTCGGATGTTCTTTGTAGAGGTTGAACTATCATGTCTGATACGAACTCCTAAAACCTTGAGATCAAATGCAGTGGTCCTCCCAGCAACGAGGTAGTACAGGCATGGGTATATGTGCACGTGTGTGTGTGTGCAAAGTGTGTTCCAGTTGGTGGAAAGTACTGTATGTGAGACTGAGCAGCAGTCGACCTTGACAGAAAAACTTCCTTTCTGCTATCCCTCCTTCCCCCAGGCTCTCCACTAGCCTCTCACTTCTTCCTTCTCTCCCCCTCTCTGTCTCTTGTTCCCCAGCTTCCTTTCTCTTCCTCTACCTCTACTGGTCTTTCTAAGTGGTCTCAAAGGAATGCTCTCTGGTCCAATAACCCAGGAGGCTGGCATCACAGAGACGAGAGCAAGAAAGGAGCAGAGAGAGAACGGGGAGGTTGGGGGAGTGTAGGAGAAACCAGGAAAAGGAGACAGTGGTAAGGAGGGAGAAAGAAGTCGGGGAAATTAAGATGCATGAAGATAAGTTGGAAAGTAACAGAGCTCAAAACTTAATATCAGAAGCGAGATTGAGACACATCAGGAGATAGATGGATGCCTGGCTTCATAAGTTTTGTAAATATACACGGAGGAACATTTATTTTGCCATGCCATCACTCTGCCTCCTCATAATTACAAAGCAAAAACAGATGCCAGGGTAACCATGCAGAAAATGAACTCCTCCACTGCCGTCATATTACCCTGCGCTGGCCTGTGTGGCACAAAGGGGAGCACGCTGACAGCTTTCAGCCCTGGCATTAGCGCTGCCGCCTGCCGTCCTCCTTCCCTCCCTCCCTATACCCCCATGAAATGCATAGTGAAACTATGTTTGAACTTCAGTTGACAGGACGGTGTCCTCTTGTCTTTCTCACAGGGGAGAGCTGTTGCCAGTTTAGGAGATTCTTGCTCCCCCTCACCACAAGGCAAAAACATCCATCAACGCTGGGCATAAGGCTCCCACTCCAGGCAGTCTGCCCTCTCTGGTCTCTTTCTATCCCTGTCTCCACCACACTGCACCCTTCCTTATTTCGGTCTTGTCAAACCTGAGGAATCCACCCAACCCCACCCCACCCCCCCTCCTATAGCAGTATTTAGAGTATGGGAGGGGGGCATGTAGGAAAAGAGACTTTGATGATTAGTTCACTGTATAACTTAACAGGAGCGAGCATAATTTGCATTTTAAAAAGTAGTGATGTCCTCCTAATGAGGCAAGCTGCTAATTAGTCATTAGATATTCTTTTTCAATCCCACATCATCAGCTCATTGAGGGTAAAGCTTGTGTAAACATGTAGCCGTCAGCTGTTGGATATGCTTGGCTTTACTGGGGATGGGGAAGATCAAGTTGAGCACCTGGTTACAGCTGAAATAGAGTGTACATTACTAATACGCTCTGTTATTATCCACAGTTTTTCAGCCGCTATTGCTTTAGCTTCATCACGTCAAAATGTCCCTGAAAGGAATTTTAAAGATGACAACTTCCTGAAATAATTATTAATTAGACAGACAAGCGCACAGAAACACCAACACACCTTATCATGCTCGACAAAGTCCACAAACGCAGTCCTCTCCACCTCCACAGGTTGGCCATGTCTGTCATAGAGCGCCAGGACAAAGTGAAAGAAGTTGGACTTGCGGAGATTGGAGGGCGGCTGCTTCTCAAAATGAGCTCTTGACAGAGCTACTCCACTGAGAACACAACAGGAAGAGACAGTCAGCTCACACTTTCCCTCATGATATTAAAGACATTCACACAGTGTTAAATAAACTGATTCACACTGCTAAATGGTTATCTTTTGCTTAATGACCACCAAAATATAATTGATGGTTGAAAATATTTCTCAAAGTAATCTATATAAAACAAACAAAAACAAACAAAAACTAAAGACCAGCCACCACTTTACTCTGCTTGCACTAAATAATGAAAACTAAATTAATATGCATATCAAATATGTTTGATTTACTGGCCCTTAAATAATTTTAATAAGCATATTATTTCCCATTACATAAAAAGTTTTTTACTCTTAAATTGTTAAGGCCTTCAGTTTATTTATACAATAGGTATCAATAATTTACAAAGAAAATTGATGATTTATAAATATTTAGTTTTTGCTATAATATGCCTTTGTAAAATAAAGAATGTGGCCTGGAAAATTACACAAAAAAATAAAACCAAGGCAAAAAACAGGAGAAACTGGGAAAGTAAAACTTGATAAAACTGTGGTTGAGTTACTAAACTGTTAAGTCACAATAGAATCAGGTCTTTTGACTGCAGCTGATGTTGGAGGATCTTGGTTGTAAAATATACAATAGGTAAGTGACTGCTGAATTACAATAAATGAATTTTAATAATTAGGCATATTCCCTCAAAAGAAACTCAGAGTTTGGAAATGATCAAATCATCAGGTTCCACAGAGCCTGCACTGATTTTCTGTAAATGTAACTTCGGTCATTTCATATCTTTTCAGAAAGCCTCACTCAAACTTCACTAGATTATGGATATTGTTGTAACAGCCGTAAACGTTTCTGTTATTAAGAAAAAAAAAGCCTGAGGAAAAAATTTGCCTGTGTCGATTTTGATATAGATATAAACTATAATCGAGATTTTTAAAATTACATTTTAACGTTCAATAGAATATTTTATGATATCAAATAACCTAAATGCAATACAAATAACACCGCTGTTGTTGTAGTATCACTTATTAATTGCTATTTTTATTTTTTATCATTGTTTATTAAGATATGTATTATACTAATTAACTTGTTGCCTACTCTGTGTCTTCTGCGTTTTTATGACTCTGTTTAAACTGTTTTCTAAACTTCGGACACAATCAGTTTGGAACATGAGAACACCGATGTCTGTGTGTTGGTATAGAAATTAAAAATGCCAAGAGGATGACTGAACATGTAGTGAAATGTGGAAAATACTCGGATAAGTAGAAGAATGATGTAAATGTAATGAATTTGGCCGATGAGGGTAAAAGTGTTTTTTCATCTGAAAATAAAAAGATCAGCTCCATCAGCTAAAATAGCCGGTCTATGAAACGTATATTTAGTTTGCTCACACAGAGGTTTTAAGAAATCGTCTCAAATTTAATTGTTTAAACTAAAAATGTAAGTTGACCTTTTGCACGACAGTAAATCATCTGATCAAATGCTCCTTGTGAGTGACTTTATGTCAAAGTCAACCAGTTCTGATTATTAGTTTTATGTTACATATAGGCCTACTTTCCCTTTGTGCACATGATCAGAACTTTCCTTTAATCGATTTAATAATAATAATAATAATAATAACGATCATCTCAAGTGTTGTTCTTTCATCTCATTTGAAGTTTTATGAGTTTGGGGCCAGTTGGTTTTAAAAGGGAGTCGTGACATCTTCTGCAACAAGTAGTTTGCAGCTCTTTTCTGAAAGGGCGCCTGTTCTAATTTGAAATATTCGCATATTAGAACATTGTGCTGGTGATACTGATCATGAAAATAAATTCTGTCACGTTGCTAACAAGCCTGAGCGCACACGATGAAAATACCTGATGAGAAGATGAGCTGGGTTTGTACTGTACCTTTGCGCCGCGACGTTCGCATCCACAACCCCGACATTACGCACCCACGAACGGACTGGATCCATCTCCTCTCCAAGACTTCTCTCTTTTAATCCGCTCACTTCTCGTATCAGATGCTCCTGGATCCCGAACATTTAAGCCTTGTCCCGATCGTGTGGTGCACTTTTCTGAACTTGAAGGGGAAAAAACTGAGTTGGAGAGCTAAAGCACTTTGGCAAACAACAGAAGGTCCACCCCAAGGCTCTGCGCTCCTCCAGAGCGCCACGAGAAAACAGAGCTTGCACGGAGCTTTGAGATATAAATGACCGGTGCTGTGTGATGTTTCAAAGGGCGTCTCAACAAATAAAAAAAAATCCACGCAGACTTTCTTTCAAGGCTCAAAAGATGATATTAAATACACTCCCCGGCTGGTTACGAGCATTGTCCAAGCGCAAATCTCCAGCGTCAGTTCGAGCGCAAACGATCACCTGCTCGGTGGGCTGAGCTCCTCACGCGGTTCAGAGCGAGTCTGTCTCAGAGTATTCTTCAGATATCTATGTGTAGAAAGTCTTCCTTTGTCAGAAGGCCAGACTGGATCAAAACAGTTGATCCGAGGGCCAGGAAGCTTGAAGTGAACCGCTGTCTTGAAGCATGAATGAGACCCTCTGCCGGGATAGAGCGTGGAGGAGGGGCCTTAGTGCCATATGGGGGACCGATTGTTGAAATGGATGCTCTCATTGGTGTAAAGTGCATCCGTTGTTTGGACTTCTGCCAGATTCAGCATCCAACCACTGACTCTTGCTGCAAACTTTTCACACATTAGGTTCTACCAGGGTGATAGAGATAACACAACATGTTAAAGCAGAAGCTGTAAGCATCTGAAAATTCTTTAATCATGAATAGGAGTATTATTTGTAGCTTAAATTAAAGGTCCTCTTTGTGTGTGTGTGTGTGTGTGTGTGTGTGTGTGTGTGTGTGTGTGTGTGTGTGTGTGTGTGTGTGTGTGTGTGTGTGTGTGTGTGTGTGTGCGCGCGCGCGGATGAAAAGATGGGGGGACCTTTACAATCAATAGCCTATTATTCGTATTATTGATGGACAAATGTCGAAAGCTTGCATTTTACTCACAAAATAATTCATATTTATATGTATTAATGTCTGGGGTGTTTTATAAAAGCCAATTGTTCATTCTGCTTTTCAGTTCTCCTGTAAACACTGGGGTACCACTGCTCTGAATAGTCTCAACAGCAAATCCTGTTTGGTCTATTCATCCGAGTCAAAATTTAACACAAGTGCGCTCTCGACAGGCGCGTATTCAGCAGCTCGACCGTCTGCTCCTTTGAACGCGGTGATTCCGCTGAGGAGGCATCGCATCAGTGTCAGCCGCAACAATGGCCGTCTGGTTGGTCCATCAATCTCCGCCAGCAGCGGACAGGGCTGCCCTCTGATTGGCGTTTGGACCGCTGCCTGACAGTGCCCGAAATGAGTTCTTAATCAATACAACGAGCGTCTTATCAAACCCAGCCTGCTCATGAAACCTGTCACAAACGACGATGGTTAAAAAAAATATATATATTCAAGTGATCTACGAAAACAAGTAATGCGCGGATACGAAAGTAATGATTTTGAACACAGTCTGACAAAGTTTCTTTTGCGTTGGATAATTTCACGGCTTAGAAGTCTTGAAAAACAGTCTGCAGCCTAACAACCCAAAAAGTGTGGGCTACAACCCCAACAACAGCTTCTGCTATTTTTGTCAGTCATGTAAACTCAAAAGCTCTATATTTTATTTTAACAATATCATGTTCAAATCATTTTCTGAGTCAAATGGATCCGTGTTTTGTGTTTAGCCCCCAAATAGAAAATCTATCATGTTTTGGAGCACTTTTGCTGACAAAAAAATTAATTTCCGCTCCCGTTCGTTTGGCAATGAAAAAGAAAGTTTTTTTTTCTCCAACCTTGGTGCCTTGCCCCTCGCCGAGACTATTGTCTCTGGGTAGAGTTTGTGCGCCTGGACAATGAATGTAAATCTCCCCCCTTGGATCCCGCCCCAACCCACCATCTGCCAGCGCGGGACAAAGTCAGATGTTCCCCCAATTATGAGAGCAGTCTTGGGGAATCCTGCTGCCGAGTCTCCGCCCTGTCGCCGTGTCCCTCACACACTTCCCCTAAAATGATTGACAGCTCTATTTAAGCATGAAAAATCTAGATATGATGACACACTTTAATAAAATTCCTCCACTCATTGCAAAACTTCCAGAGGGGCGTTTTGAATTGAAATGCAGGGAGATTCTCTCTTTAAAATCTTTGTATGGATTTATTGGTTCTTTGACTGTCCCATTTAAAACAAGCACCACATGGCCACTGCATCCAGTGCAGGACCGGTTTCTGTGCCTTGTTGAAGAACACAGGTGAGTGATGCAGAATTGACCATTAGTGTGGCCAAAGAGAAACGATTCATTAAAAACTGGTTTTGAACAGATTGCACCACTGGCGAACACCACTAACCTTAGGTAGTGGTAGCCTAGACTTTATCGTAGGCACATCACAAAGCATCTGAGTCATCAGACACATTTTTAGTTGACATAAGTCATTAGGCTGAGAATATTTTATGTCATTAAGAAGTGCACCTTTGGGCCTATTCCATCTATATAACAAGGGATTTATTTCCTATTTATTGAGGTCATTTCTTTCCAGAAGAAACTTCTATTCGTTTTGCCAATGAGACAAACGATTGTTGCACTTTTAATCAAGAGTGTATAAAGCGTTTAAAAGCCCTGTCCAGGCTATCTTACAATCTTCATCCAGCTACATATATCTTTGTTAATCGATATTATATTAATCATTTCATTATGACCCTGCGGCCTGCTGTCAAGCTTGTCAAGCTTGCTGGAAGTTTATGTAGCAGGTTAACGAAAAAGTCCTTCTCTCAAATCCACGTTGCGTGTTTTGCAACTTGTCTCCCCACTTCAGTCCCACAGGTGCGAGAGTTGTTGTCTAAATGTGTGCTTTCTCCTCGTTTGCTGAAGCGGAGAGCCGGGGCGAAAATAGGGGATTAGTCAAACCACAAACGTCTCTCTAATCAACTTAACCCGTTGAGACGGTCAGCCCGTGTGTTTTAGGGTGAAGGGGGTGGGGGGTGGGAGGGGTGATCAGTGACTGCTAAACCAAACAATGGGGTATCGTGTGCCGCTCGTCCTCTCCAGCATTCCCCTGCTCCCATGGGACACCCAGAGCCACTCTCTGTGGATCCACGGAGGTCAGGAGGGGCGTGGTTTGTGTGTGTGTGTGTGTGTGTGTGTGTGTGTGTGTGTGTGTGTGTGTGTGTGTGTGTGTGTTGTAGTGTGTGGTGTGTGTGTGTGTGTGTGTGTGTGTGTGTGGTGTGTGTGTGTGTGTGTGTGTGTGTGTGTGTGTGTGTAGGGGGGTGCTGGAGACGCAGCAGCTGGTTCCCGTCCCTCCTCTCCACTGTGCAGAAAACAACAGAGCTAATGCGACCCACCACGTCTCCAATCGATCACCTTATATTGCTCTCGGTTTTTGTTTACTTATATTTAGGCAAGGATGCAGATCCCATGGGGACTGTCGGCATCCGCAATTAAAGCGGAGTGACCACCTTTAGCCTCATTCCTTAATATCAAAAACCATCATCATCTGCTAAACCTTTAACAAACATTTGGATTCAGGCCTGTTCTTACTTGGAGTTCAATCAGTTACTTAAAGAAAAAAAACAACATGGTCCATTTTAGGAGGATACAACACAACTACTAGGGGCTGAGAATATCTACGATCAAACATTATCACAGAAAATCTTGTAAGGAGTAAAACTATCACAGAAGTACTTCTGAATATCATAATATAACTAAAAGCTTCCATACTGCGGTTGCAGCAATTGAAAAAGGTGAAATATTTTTGGTTTTCAGGTGAATTGGTTGAATATATTTTAACTTTAGCATCTGCTCAGCACATTATTCCAAACTTTGATGCACTCAGCCTTTCACCTTCACAGCAGACATTCTGACCTATCACAACGTAAGAAGCACATGAGCAGTTAAAGGCATTTCAGTGTCTTAGTTAGTGAGTTATTTAAGTGCCCAGGACTTAAAAGACACCAAAAATACAACAGCGAAGTGGTGAAACATCTTCTTCTTCATACATATAACATTACATTACAAAAAAGAACGTTGCTTTCTGTCCAAGTTAAACCAAAGGCAGTGAGACAGCTTGCACGATATCCTGAAACTGGCCCAAAATCTAAATGCAGCCACAATTCATTCATGTCATTGACACGGTCCTTTCAGTCAGTACAAAGAGGTTTACGGATAAATACAATGAATTACGATACTGTAGGTATAATCTAAATAAATATGTTGTCTGAACATCCTCTCTTGTAAATTAGCTGATTAAAGCAAAGATAAAAATGTATGCCTCCTATGATTGGTACTAATATAACGGCTTTATATAAAAATCACCACTTCAACAGACCTTTCATCACCTTTAAGTCCTCCATGCAGTAACTGAAATTCATCCAAACCCACAGGTTGTGCTTGTGCCTGCCTCCCTGTCCTTGATAAAATTGTATGTCAGTGCCATCTGCTGGTCTGCTTCAGGACATTGTCAGATGAGTACGCAAACAAGTGTGTTATCTTCTGAGCTATTCTTCTGTATCATCATGAATTTCACTCAAAGGCTGAGGTTAATCTTTAAAATAATCATTTATTCATGTCAAACTTAAAGTGACACAATGTCTTACACTTATATTCGGGACAAACAAAAACGTGTTCCAAAAAAAATCAGTTAAAAATCACGTTACAATTTATGCTTATTAAAGCATTAACTGATTACATTCATACAGGCTGTATAAATGTTACTGTATAGGGCAACTATTCTAAAGACAATTTTAAAATATTTAAAAAATAATTAAAAGACAAGAAGATGATTAATTAGTAGAGAAAAAAATAGAGAAAACTTCACATATCAAGTCAGGTAGATCTCATTTTGATTTTAACATTCACAAAAAAATATGTAAAATAACCACAGATGTTATTTCTACATTACCAGTGCAGGCGTCAGTGCATCACAAACATTAAAACATGATAAAGCTTTTAAATACTCAAATAATGCCACGGGGTTTTTTTTTTTTTTTTAAAAAAACTGTGCT